GAGAAACTATTCTGTAAACCTTCATCTAAAGTACAATTAAAAAAAAAAAAATTTGCCTGAACATTCCCGCCATTCTTCAGGTACAGACCAGCATTGCTTAATGTAGGCTACAGGATCCTGCTTGTTCTGAGTCCTGTTTATTCTCCAGCTTCATCTCCTTCCAACCACATAAGCCTTCTATTCCTCTGATGCTGTGTCATCCCTCTTCCGTGGAGGTTTCCCCTTGTTACTGTTCTCTTTGCTTGTTAACTGTGATTCGTCCCTCAAATCTCAGCCCACAAATCATTTATTCAAGGAAGCTTTCTCCAACTTTCAGTTTTTTGAGTCAGAACTCCGTGTTATACGCCCCTATAGCACCATATATCCTTCCTTTGTAGTACTAAACACAGTTACACAGTGCTGTATATTTGGCTTATTATTTGATTAACGTCTGATAAGTTGAATGTGGTCAGGACGAGGCCGATTTTCATCCCTGTTGTATCTCCTGTGGTCAACATCAGATCTGGAAGATAATTTTTTCCTACAAGGATTTGTTGAGTGAATTAATTGATTTATTTGGTTCAACTTTAGAAGCAACTAGTTGAGAAGTTTAAAAATGTATAGTCTAGTTTTATAGATGTTTTATTTGCTAATTTAACCTTCAGTTTTGTTCCTATTTAAGATTTTAAGAAGTTACTGTAATCTACTGTTTAGTAAACGAGTGCGTATTATCCAACTTGCTCCCTGATTTTGAGAAATTGTAAATATATTAATAATTCCTTACATTTCTAAGAACTTTAAACATACACTGTATTTCCATATATGATCTTATATAAGCCACACAGCCACCCTGGGTTCTAGTATCATTTCAGTTTTACAGAACAGGACATAGATTCAGAGATGGTGATGTATCCAAGGTTCCACAGCCAGCATTTGAACCCAGCTCTGCTTCCGAGTTCATGTCCTTTCTGTGACACCACAGCTGCCTTTCACTAGCGACAATGAAATTTTTGTGTGTTCATTCATGAAGATTACTTGAGAGGGTAAACTGATATAAAGAAGATTAAACTGAGATCCAGCTTCTGTTTCTAAGCTTACAGCATCCGTATATTTTGAAAATGAGATTAGAAAATAATTAGGAAACAGAAAAGTAAGATAACTAATTAAATAAGGAGAATATTACCTGTTTATTTCTCAGCTGTTATGTGATTTTATGCAATAGGGTGCAATGAGCTGCGGATGAAAAACGAAAGTAAGTTCATTCAGGGTTGCAGCCCTCAGTGAATATTTGACATTTACCCAGTGGAGTTTTCGTAAGCTTTATTACTTACACAGGAGCCCTGGTGGCAC